AATCGCTGTTACCTCATACTTGTACGTATATTTTTCCCTCACATCCTTCCGGATCGCTGATCCTGCCAGTTCGTGGATCCTCCACTTGTGGAAAATAAGAGCAAACATCAATATGATGGTTGTGTAGTTGAAAGAAGTGTATGAAAGACTCAGCTAGATTTTCAGGTATATGATGAAAAAGTTGCGAACGATAGCAGTCTAATGGTAGTAGTTTCACAAAATGATGACTTCCAAAAGGAAACTTGATTCGGTAAAATGTGAACTAGAAGAACTGGAGCGCCAAACATTGGAAGTAAAGCAGAAGCAGGTGGATTTGGTTATAATTATTAACACCATGTTGCAATGGTCTACCAATCACAATATTATATCCTTCGTCTGTAGACCGAAAATGAAGCACAAGTCGCCGCAGCTTCTAGTGAGCTAGAAGAGCAGAAAGCAGAAGTTCAGCGGGAAGAGGAAGCTTTGAAAGCGTCTAGGGAAGACTACGAGAATAGGAAAGCGGGAGCTGTAGCGGAGTTTGAAAAGGCTGAGGTGAGAATATTGTATAGTGCTACAAAGAAACATGCTTATATTGTGAGTTATTTCGTTAGAGCGACTTCCAACAGCAAGCAAGTGAGTTGTCGCAGCAACTAGAGAGTGGACATAAGGTTATCGAGGAAGCGAAAACTGAGGTATGTGCTCTACGATTTTCTGACGTTTTCTGTTCCCTTTGCCATTATAAATTGCCGAAATTGAATAACGCCATCATGCTGCGTTGCCGGAATGTCCTTTTTTTATTTTTCGTTTTTGATTTCTGAGATCCTCGGCGCTTATTCACTTCTAGTTCTTTATCCTCATCACACAATATCTCCTCAAGCGTATCTCACAATACCTCTATTTCGTTCGGGAAGTGTGTGTTGTGCGGCCCAAATACTTGTGACAACATGGTAAATAACACAACAGTGAAGAGAAAAAGCAGAAAAACCTGCTCAGTGTGTCTCACATAGAAGCTCACTTATTGGTGCCAGCTCCCTCCTTGTCACCTCGTTCTCAGCATTTGAAATATATAGAGAGATAG